TTAACTCTATCCCAGCCATAACCAGGACAAGTTAGAAAGTTTCAAAACCTTTCCCTGGCTGTCTGTGGGACTCTGCTTGCCGGCTGCAGTGAGGATGGTAGTGGCTCATGTGGGGTAAGGATTCAACATGGACTTATTTTAGATACAAACTCAAACTAATCTCCCCAGTTGCTGTTGGGATGGTTGTACTCACAAAGTTTGAGCATTTAAAATACCCATGTCCTCCTGCATTTGCCTCCCTTGAAGATTAACCTCTGAATTGTGTTGTTTCAGGAGGAGCCGCCCAAGGAGGGACTGCCAGACGCTACGATCGCCCCCAGCCCTTCCGATAAGCTTGACGATGCCAGCAAGTCCCCAGCTGCACTGGGCAGGGAAAACCCACGCGTCCAAGCCCCGAATTCCAGTACAGCTCCCTGGAGTGATGCACCCAGTGCTCTGCGTGGACATGGAGAGCAGCAGGAAAGCGGGTGGGCAGCAGGGTCAGGGGGTGGCCCCGGCCCTCCCAAGGACAGGGAGAGCATGGGAGATGCTGGGCACTGTACAGAAGTTGAGGACGGCAGCTGGGCCACCATCGACGGACCGCAACATGCCTGTGATTCGATGCCCTTAGAAGCACATCCCAAAAGTGCAAAGCCCGATGGAGCCAGTGGAGAAGGGAGGGAATCACAAGACCCCTTCGGACATCCAGGAAAAGAGAAGGAAGAGGTGGAGGAGGGGAAAAAAGAGGGAGAGGACTCTGAATATGAAAGCACAGTCCTGGAGCCTATTGATTTAGCATTTTCTGAAAGCGATGATGCCAACATGGAGCATGAACACAGCGAGCAGAAGCCAGTGAATTTGGCGTGTCTGAAGGACTTTGGCATAAAAAAAGCCCTGCAGCCTTCGCATCCCCCTGCCCAGGCAGTTCAATGCCAGTGCTGTCAGATGGGACTGGGACTGAGACTAGCCCTCAAGGGCTTCCTGGTGAGATGGCATCACGCCTGGACACGCTGCAAGAGCCCTGGGAGGCTCTGGCCACCCCAGATGCAGAGACAAACGGTGTTGGTTTGGCACACACAGCCCGTCCAGCCGATGTGGGGTCTCCTCGTGACAGCGGGTTGATGCGGCTGTTACCATCTGATGCGAGCCTTGTCTGTGCGGCACAGCCAGACAGCATTACAGGCAACGTGGGACCTGCCGGAGGGACACTCAGGGATGGCTGGGAGCAGAAAGACAAGGATCGTGCGCCCTCTGCAGAAACGTGGGCGCCTGCTGGGAGCAAAGCTCCCAGCACAGCTGGCCTTGAGTCACCATATGACCAGGGACTGTCACTAACCTTGTCCCCTGACTCCAGCTCTGTCTGCCTCACATCTCTTGGTGGAGCAACAGATCCGGGGGCTGCAGAAGAGGACCAGGAGGCAAGCATCCAGTCTCCACCGCAGAGCGGCCTGGGAGGGAGCAGCTGCTTTTCCCAAAGGCGCGGAGGTGACATTTATGCTGACCTCACTTTGCTGAGTACTGGTGAATCAAACCAAGAAGGGAACAAGTTTTTCGTGGAAGAAGAGCATAGCAGCCCCTCTGCCAACCAGACAGCTGTGTTGGATGAGTCCTTGGGAGCAGATGATGGCCAGGGCTTCGCCTTCGACTATGCAGCCTTAGCAGGTGACTCTGAAGCTGAAGAGAGTGATGATGTGTGCCTTCGTGCAGAGAAGTCCCCCGGGAAAGATGAAACGAACACAGGGATGGTGACTAACCCACCACAGGAGCCAGAGACCTCTCTTCATGACCTGCTGGAACCAGAGCCCTCCTCCGTTTTGAGAGGGGGGATGTCTGCCATAAAGGAGCACCCCAGGCAGCAGCAGAGCTCCCCAGACAGCCTGTCCCCACCTGCCCGTGCAGGCTCAGCTCCTGCTTCTCCCCCCCAGCAGGATCCTCTCCCCTGTGGTGGAGACGCAGACCCCCACCACCACTTGTCAGAGCAAAGCGAGCAGGGGCCAGTCCTGTGCCAACACGGGAAGTCCTGTGAGCAAGTAGGTGCTGCAGAGGTGAGTGTGGCTGCCGAGAGCCCAGACGGCTCCTTAAAGCCCAGATGTGCAGAAGAGGTGAAAAAAGACTTGGGGCTGTGCTATGCAGAGCCAGCAGAGAGCTCCCCCGCAGATGTGCTTGCACCAAGTGACCTGGGATCAATGCCTCCTTCTCCTCCGCGAGGTCACAAAGCAGGTCTGCACAGCGCTGAGCTGGACTCAGTCCTCGGTGTGCACCCCAAGACACTCTCTCCTGGCACGAGTCCGGCTCCAGATGGTGCCCCATGGTCCTCCTGCGTGGGCACCTGCCCCAGGTGTGCCAGCCCTGGGAGCCAAGCAGTGGGTGGGGTAGGGAGCCACGAGGAGGAACCCGTCCTGCCTGAGGATTCAGAAGGAGGAAGCAGTGTTCCTCTTGCCAGTCCTGCATCTTTTTCGGCAGGGGAGTTGCTCATGCCACTGTGCGAGTCCCAGTCTGTGTGCAACCAGGGCGAGCACGAGGCCGAGGGATCCGACGCATTTGCTGATCTGCACCATGCCAGCATGGAGGTGGGAGAGGGAGAAATCCCCACTCTCCCCTTCACGATGTTGCCGTTACATGCACACGGGGGAATCTCTGGAGAGAGCCTGGAGCTTAGTGACACTGAGGATATTTCAGATGTGCTCCTGAGGACAAAGCAGCTCCCCAGCAAAGACAGACGCATGGACTTAACCTTTGAAGATCTGTTTGAGACTTTCTCTGGCGACTCAGACCAGGAGTATTTTGGGAGGACTTTACGGTCCCTGTGTAAAGCCAGGGTCTCCTACAGCACGAGATCTGTGGATGCTGCAGGCACAAGGACTAACTGTGACTCTTCCTCCGCGAGCTCGGTGCACATGGAGGGACGCAGCGAGGACTGGGGCTCACTGGGCATGAAGCAGGGCTGCTCATGGGCTGAGCGCGGCTGGCCGATTGGCCCGGGAGAAACCAGCAGCAGGCACGTTCCACCATATGTCAATATTAGGGACAGCCAGGGGATCGCCAAGGACTACCGGAACTTCCTGGTCACCAAAAAGTGCCAGAAGAGGACGGGAAATTTGCAGCCTTCAAAGAAGTGCAGCCACTGTGCAGGGCAGTCTCATTTGTTAAGGTCACTGATGGGGACTTGGAGGAGTTTTGAGGAAATCACCCAGCACACTTTGGACATGGAGCATCTCCGTTTCCATTATAAGCTAAAACAAATCCTAAGGAGTGGGAAACCACCCTTTTCTACCTCCAAAAGCATCTTTCCAAAAGACTTTTCTCCCCAGGTGATGTCTGAGACATTGTCTGTGCGAGAAGCTCCCGTCCCGCTCTCCCCGCGGAGCAGGAGCCCTTTGCAGGTGACGATCCTGCCCTCCAACACGTGGCCGAGCGGGCTCGGCTGGCACCAGCGAAGTGGCTGGCATGGGGACCCGTGTACCCCGTGGCAGGACACCCTCTGCGATGAGAGGAGCAGGGCCAGATCCCGAACGCAGAGCCAGGGCCGCGTGGCTCCCTTCCATCTCAGCAAGCTCAAATACGATAATAAGCTAAAGGACTCGCGGGGGGACATCGCTGTCATCCTCAACGAGTACGCTGAGTTCAACAGGGTGATGCTGAGCAGGGCTGACGCAGGGAGCGAGGGCGGAGGGCCGGTCCCGGCCCACGGGGAGGCTGTGAGCAAGAGGACGCGCGCATCTCTCCCCGGGAGGATGGCCGCCTTCGAGGAGATGATCACGGACCTGTGCAGCACGCTGCATTTCCGCCTGCACAGCGTGGCCAAGGAGGCCTGCGGCCGCACTGGCATGTTCTACCTGGTGGAGACGGGCAAGGACCCTTTCTTTGCAAGAGTGAAGGTAACGGCCAGTCCTGCTGGCCTGGAAGGGGATGGGTGGCCCTGGGGTGAGAGCCGAGGGCAGCAGGAGCAGGGACAAGGCAAGCTTGCTCAACCCAACATGGATGGCATTTGGTTCCCTTAAGCCAGGAGCTGCCTCTGCCATTTCATCTCGGCTCCCACCACCAGAAATTAGAATCATAGAATCATTTAGATTGGAAAAGACCCTTAAGATCATCAAGTCCAACTGTTAACCTAACACTGCCAAGTCCACCACTAAACCATGTCCCTAAGTGCCATGTCTACATGTCTTTTAAATACCTCCAGGGATGGTGACTCAACCACTGCCCTGGGCAGCCTGTTCCAGTGCTTGACAACCTTTTTGGTGAAGACATTTTTCCTAATATCCAATCTAAACCTCCCCTGGCACAACTTGAGGCCGTTTCTTCTTGTCCTATCACTTTAACATCCCCCAGACCAAAACAGCTTGGAGTTCACGCAGGAGCAGCCCAAACTCAACCCCTCCAAGGTGGCTTTTGCTTGAGCTCTCATTGAAGGGTTGGAAACTCAGGGAGGGTGATTGAATGGGAAGATTTGCTGCTCCAAAATAGCAAGGAGGCCCGATGCATGGTACGGTGAGATGCTCGAGGTAGTTTTCTAAAAGGTTTTTGCTGACAAAGGTAAGTGGCTGCTTCTTCCCCCTCTGGCTGGAGCCCCAGCCTGGAGCGCGCAGTGCCTTTGACAGAAGGACACTGTAGGGTGCCCTTGACACCAGGGTGCCTGGTTGGGGTTGCTGTCTCATTCCTCTCTCCTTATCCCCAGACATGTGTGTCCTGGGAGCATGGCACCGCTGTTGTGAAGATATTCTCCGTACAAACATCCTTACATGATTTCTGTTTCAGACCTTGCTAAAGAAAGACGGCCACGTGGAGATCAAACCTCTGAGCTTCTGCGAAGCAAAACACGCGGACGCTGACAGGCTGCTCGTTGTCATCAGGAACGAGGACATATCCTCGCACATCCATAACGTAAGGCCTTAGTCTGTCCTTTTTTTCTACCAGCAGAATTTTTGAATATCAGGATCCATTTTAAAGGTTTTTAAATTTTACACTATATATAGCTGTAGATTTAATCGTCAGTCTCTGCGGATACACTGTTCTCTCCACTGAAAGAACAGTGCTTCATGAAGAGCTGTTAAAAACAAGTATCTCAAAAACATGAAGCCTGTCAGTTCTGCTTTTCTTCTGTCTCCTTTTTTGATCGCTGAATAACATCACTTGGAGTAGCCCAGCTCCAAGGAGTCGGGCTGGTCTTATCTTGTGTAATGGAGCAGTTCAGCCAGGCTTTGGCTCGTGGGCTCCAGTGAATTTTGTAGCAGACTAAGCCCCAGTAGTTCCCCGTATCGCCGTCCACAGCTTTGGGGTCAGGCTATGGAGACACGAGCATCGGGGTGATGCAGAGAGAGGACGGGGTGGGCTCCCCGGGTCTCCCAGGAGCGGGTGTGAGCTGCAGAGAGGTGCAAATGCTGTTGAAACACAGCTCTGTGTGTGCAAAAGCATGTCTGCCTTGAGCAGGTCCCGTGCTTGCTGAAGCTAAAGTACTATCCGAACGTGGTGTTTGCCGGAGTGGACAGCCCCGAAGATATAACAGGTCACACATACCAGGAGCTGTTTTACACCGGTGGCTTCGTGGTGTCAGACAATGAGGTGTTGGAAACGGTAACGCTGGGTAAGTCTCGCTGCAGCCTCTTGCTTGGATGCAAACACACAGTGTTGCCTTGTCTGCTGGTTTGCCAACACCTTCCAAAAACTTGCCATGGGCGTCTCTGCTCATGCTTTAGTGGGGGCAATTCTTTCTCTCTATTTCATATTTGTAAACCCCATCTGGATAGTGGGTCCAGGTCAGGGCTCCCAAAAACATCTAAGTACAGCGAGGGCCACCAAGATCAGGGGCTGGAGCAGGGGTTGTACAAGGACATTCAGCCTGGAGAAGGGAGGGCAAAGGGGAGACCTTGTTGCTGTCTTCAGCTCCCTAACGGGAAGCGGCAGAGAAAATGGAGCTGCGCTCCTCCTGGAGGTGCACAGTGATGGGACAAGAGGTGATAGGGACAAGTTGTTCTTATCCTTTTAGATATTAGGGGGAAAAAATTCACAGCAAGTGTGTTTAAACACCAGGACAGGATCCCAGTTTCACGACCAGGGTTGTGAATCTCCATCCTTGGAGATATTCAGACCTCACCTAGACAAAGCCCTGAGCAACCTCAGGTGGTCCAACTTTGAGCAGGGGTTGGGCCAGAGACCCCCAGGCACCCTTTCCACCCTCGGTTACCCTCTGGCTCTTGCTGTCTCCCCAGGCCAACTGAAAGAGGTGGTGAAGGTGCTGGAGAAGCTGAACAGAAGCGGGAAGTGGAAGTGGCTCCTTCACTACAAGGAGAGCAAGAAGCTCAGAGAAGACGTCAGGTAACGGCTCTGCGGTGGCAGCTCCCTCATCCCTGCTGTCCTTGTCACCGCAGCAAGGACGTACCCACGTGGTGTCCTATTCAGTGTACTCAGTGCAGGGACTCAGGGCAAATTAGGTGCCTCTGGTTGGGTTTTGGCCTCTCACAAGATGAATTTGAAGATTTTTGTTTAAATAAGAACTTTTCTTATCAGTGAGAGACCGTGTGCCTCAAGTCTGGAATTGCCGGAGGTCAGCATTTGCGCGCTAGCAAGTAAAGTGCGATAGGTTTTTTTATACCTGTATGAGATGGAGCAGCAGGATATCGGATCTGGAAAGAATCAGATGGCCTGAAATGTTGTGTCTTGCACGTGATCCCGGATGAGGCAGAGCTCTGGCAGCTGCTTCTTGCACCCCGCTGTATCTCCATAAGGCAGTTCCCCCCTCTCTTTGGCAGAGACGCCCTCTGTGAGCGTTACAGCCTGCAAGGGGCTTGAGGAAAGGCACAAATTCTCTTTGAGGAGCTGCACGCTCCGAAAGCTGTCTCTGCAAACTGAGCTCCTTTCCCACCCAGCTCCTGCACACACACACACCAGGAGCTCGGGGTACCTTCTCGGGCCTCTCTCTGTCCCGCCGTCTCTTTGCTGTTTCTTTTTCTGTCCCATCGCTTGTGTGATTTGGGTGAGCGATGAGGAGCTCTGACTTTGTAATGTGGAGAGGAACTGGGGTGTCTTGGGGAGTTCGTAAAATCAAACCTTGCTGGGAAAAGCAGAACTTCTGTTTGTATTTGCTACTTATTTTAGGTTATTGGCAACAGTGTGTATTTAAATGATGCAGTTTGAAAAAGAGAAGTAAATATTTCTGTCGTGGTTTAACCCCAGCCGGCAACTAAGCCCCACACAGCCGCTCGCTCACTCCCCCACAGTGGGATGGAGGAGAAAATCAGAAGAGTAAAAGTGAGGAAACTCGTGGGTTGAGATAAAGACAGTTTAATAGGTAAAGCAAAAGCAGGTGTTCAGCCATCTCCAGGAAAGCAGGGCTCCATCACGCGTAACGATTACTTGGCAAGACAAACACCATCACTCCGAACGTCCTCCCCCTTCCTCCTCCTTCCCCCAGCTTTATATGCTGAGCATGACATCATATGGTATGGAATATACCTTTGGTCCGTTGGGGTCAGCTGTCCCAGCCGTGTCTCCTCCCAACACCTTGTGCCCCCCCAGCCTCCTCGCTGGTGTGGTGGGGTGAGGAGCAGAAAAGGCCTTGGCTCCGTGTAAGCACTGCTCAGCAGTAACGAAAACATCCCTGTGTTATCAACATTGGTTTCAGCACAAATCCAAAACAAGGCCCCATACTAGCTGCTATGAAGAAAATTAACTCTGTCCCAGGCAAAACCAGCACATTCTCCACTCTTTATTCCATACCATTTACGTCATGCTCAGGTCCCACACTGTCCAATACATTCTTATTACCCACCCCACCCCCTTCCCATCCTTAGATATAATACACAGATATCATTCCCTTAGTCTATGGACCAACCCTGTAAAATGTCCATAAAATGCCCACAAAATGTCCACTGAGTTAATTTAGTCCATGACTTTGGGCTCCATCTGTTGCAGTGGTCACTCAGGACAGGGGAGGTGGTGTGTTGTGTGGAGTTATTGGGCACCAAAGCCAGCTCAGGTCGGGTCACTGCTGCACTTGCACTGCTTCTTGTAAGGCTTCTCCTCCACTGGTTCAGGTGGTTCCTGCTGTAGTAATTCCTATAACACGCAACTCAAATCCTGGGTTATAAAAATTTAAAGGTATTTCCATTACAATTTCCATCCCTTGTTCCCTTTGGGCCAGGTTATAGGGTTTAACATTGCAATGAACTCCTCCCCTTGCCCCTGCTCCAGCTTGGACTTATCCACAGACTGCAGTCCCTTAGGGTTGTGCCTGATCCAAGTGGAGCATTATCTATGAGCCGCTGTCTCTCCAGGAGGTATACCTGCTGCGGCATAGACTTATCCACAGCCAGAGTCACTTTGAGGTGCACCTGCTCCAGCGTGGCCTTCTCTATGGGCCACAATGCCTTCAGAGATAGACCTGCTTCAGCGTTGGCCTTACCC